TTTTACACAGAGAAGCCTTTACACAGAGGAGCTTTTACACACAAAAGCATTTACACACAGCAAGCTTTTACACACACACACAGGGGCTTTTACACAGAGAAGTCCTTACACAAAGGAGCTTTTTACACACAGAAGGTTTTACACAGAGAAGTCTTTTACTCTAAGGAGCTTTTGCACACAAACGTCTAGGAGCTTTTTCACACAGAACTTTTTACACGAAGAGGGCCTGACAGAGAGAGTTTTTTACACACAGACGCGTTTGCACACAGAAGCTTTTACACAGCGAAGCCTTTACACAGAGGAGCTTTTACACACAAAAGCATTTACACACACAGGGGCTTTTACACAGAGAAATCTTTACACAAAGGAGCTTTTTACACACAGAAGGTTTTACACAGAGAAGTCTTTACTCTAAGGAGCTTTTGCACACAAACGTCTAGGAGCCTTTACACACAGAAGCTGTTACACAAAGAAGTCTTTTCACAGATATATAGCTTTCACACACAGACGCGTTTACACACAGAAGCTTTTACACAGAGAAGCCTTTACACTTTACACTGCGAGTTTTTACACACGGAAGCTTTTACACACAGTGAAATCTTTACACAGACGTTTCACACAGAGAAGCTTTCACACACAGAAGTTTTTACACAAAGAATCCTTTACACAAAGTGGTTTTTACACACAGAAACTTTTACACACAAAAGCTTTTACACAGAGAAGTCTTTGCACAGTGGCGCCTTTACACGAAGTAACAAGTTGAAATTGGCAGCAGTTCTTCGGGAAAAACCCTTGGCAGGAGCTTTCGGGAACTCACTTGCTCCCCAAAAAAGCCGTCTATTTCCAACAAAGTTCCTATTCCATGAACTTTTTTCAACAAACATAAGGAATATATTTCTGAAGCAGGTCCCCATCCAAAAGCTTTCAAGCCTACACTGCGATGAAATGGAGGGTCGAGAAATCCGGCGGAGCCGACGAGGGGCGTCAGCCCTTAAATCCGGCGATGCCGTGGTTGATTGTCGCTAAGGCTAGCTCTAGCTATAGGGGGCGCGCTTCTGCCGCCGACCCTCCCCTAAAATCCTTTAGCCTGGTGGGGTTTTCACGTTTTTTGGGGTTTGGGGTTGGAAAAAAATGTTGAAATTCGAAGATGCGTTTTGGAGGTCCTTGTTGGGCGTTTTTTGGTTGAGTTTGGTTGATTTTTCGTGTTTTTTTGGTGCTGTCCACGGGAAAAAATGCTGTAAATTACAGCATGTTTGCGTCTTAACGTCTTTTGCGGGAGCAATGCAAAAACGCAGAAAATGCTGTAAATACCCATACTTTTTGGACCAGAGATGCACGAAACACTGCAAATACCAGTGTTTTTGAAAGCCAGCCAAAAAACACTATAAATTACAGCATTTTTCGCGGGTTGATCGCAAAAAATGCTGGTATTTACAATGTTTTTGTACTTTCAAGAAAACGTGGAAGGCACGAAACACTGTAAATAGCGGTGTTTTGGCCACTTTTGGACGCCGAAACGCTGGTATTTACGCAGTTTTTTGCCCGTGACGGCGCCAAACCCTTGTAAATTACAGCATTTTTTGCACTTTTTGAACCGATTTTTTTGCCTTGATGAACGCAACAACAGCAACAGCAGGAACAACAACAACAACAACAACACCGAAAACTAATTGGTACAACCACAACTCATTGGTAGCAACCTCATGGGACTTTGTTTGTCGTTCCTTAGCTTACTTGCCACCTAGCCGCCTGTGCAACACAGGGGTAAACAGTTCCAATACGAGAAGCGTCTGGTCCCCATTGGACGCCCTCATGGCACTAACCTGCTTGACGGCCGCTTTTTGCTGGCGTCCGAGGTGATGTGGGGCAGTTAGTGCGCTTTGAACATTTCTGGTGTCAACTTTTACGCGTTGGGGTCGGCGTCAGCAGGGCTTGTTTCCCTCCCCCAACCCCTGCCGGCATCGCCGGTGTGCGAAGCTCTACAATAATCTATATATTTATTTATTTACTTGTTTATTGATTTATTTATTTGTTTACTTGTTCCACTTCTTGACTGCGATTCTTCCTTATTCCTTTTTTCTGTAGCTTTCCTTAGTTCATCATCTTTATACAGTTGTTTCATACTTTTTTTGCAGGTGAAAGGACTGGATCAGTCTTGATCAGGAACTGAGCTATCACTTCAATCTATTCAAATTATCTATTTGTGATTGCTGCGGTCGAAGCGTCAGCTCCGGAGAACGGGCAAAGTGCTCTCACCTAATGGTCGTACTTATAGCCTTCCTCTTCTTGAGTGTCTGTGTTGTTATTGGGTGAAACGGTTGCCACCTATATAAGTGATGAAGCGACCACTACGTCAACTAGTTTCTTTCCACGGTTTCTACGCAGTTCTGTCATTATATCCTATTGTTGTTATCTGGATGGAAGGGTTGGTTTCTCGTATTTTTTTCAATTATATTAACCCCTTTTCATTTCATTTTTTGTCCCTCCACTCTGTCCTTGCATGATGAAATAACCCAAAAAGGAATCCCAAAATGGATGTCCCAAAAGTCTCATAACTTGGAAAAAGAATACAATAACATTGCCTTGGGAGTTCCCAGTTTTGATTCAACAAATTTACAGCAACTAGCAGATGATGAAACAAGGTATGCACTGCTCAATTTTCTATATTGTATCGGTTTGTCTATCTATCGGGGCTGGCTCTTCAGCGGATGTGGGGCAACTTCCCCTAAGCAGTGCTCTTGCTCTTAGCATTTCATTCGTGTTCCTTGGTTACCAGGGTCAAAGAGTGGTTCCTATAGGAAACATTTTTTTGAAATACTGTCAATCCGTAGTTCCCTCACAGGTCTGTCACTATGTCCTGTTGTTGTTACCTGGATGGAAAGGTTGGCCAATCAGGAGAGGTTGGTCCTGATATCTTTTGTCAAATATATTCATCCCAATTCCTTTCATGTTTTGTCCTTCCACTTGCACTTCTGTCTCCGCAAACAATTTGAAAATGGGGCCCCCATAAATGTGATGCTTCTTTAAAAATGGCCTTATCAAAATGCCAGGAAGTGCACCCCGTTTCCGGACCAAACTCGATGCTGGTGATGCCCTCCAGTTACAGCCTGCAGCTTGGGTTGTAAACCCCCATCCACTATAGCCACCCGAAAAACTCCAGGTCCCCCAGCTGAATAGCGACTACAGGCCTGGGCCTCAGGGCTAGTAGCTCTGCTTTGACACCCCGCTTTTTGGCGACGAAAACATGGGAAATCAGGGAAATTGCGATGAGTGAAAACGGCAGCACCCAAGGTTAATGGATGTGTGGTCCCCAAATACCAGTAGTGCCGCACAAGGCGGTGGCGAAAGTTTCAAAAATAGGACAAACTAGGAGAGGTGAGCTGCTGTGATGCATGGATGGCAGAGCGAATCCACTGATGGACCGGAAGGTGGTTGGAATTGGTTGCAGCCACAACTGCTGGATGTAGTGTGGTGTAGCGCAGCTGTAGTTGTAGTGTAATGGAGTTGTAGTTGTGTAGTTGTAGTTGTAGTTGTAGTTGTAGTGTAGTGTAATGTAGTGAAGTGTAGTGTGCTGTAGTGCTGTGTGCTGTAGTGTAGTCTAGTGTAGTGTAGTGTAGTCTGGTGTAGTGTAGTGTAAAGTAGTGTAAAGTAGTGTAGTTGTAGCTGTAGTTGTAGCTGTAGTTGTGGTTGTAGTTAGCTTGGTGTAGCGCAGTGTAGTGTACCGTAGTGTAGTGTAGTGTATTTAGTGTAGTGCAGTGTAGTGTAGTGGAATGAGTGTAATTAATGTAATGTAGCGTAAGGTAGTTGTGGATGTAGTTGTAGTTGGAGTTGTGGCTGTAGTTAGTGTAGTGTAGTGTAATTAGTGTAGCTTAGCATTTAGCATTGCGTTGTGAAATGTAGTGTAGTTGTAGTTGTAAGTGTATTGTGGTGTAGTGTAGCGCAGTGTAGTGTAATGTAATTAGTGTGGTGTAATGTAATTAGTGGGGTGTAGTGTAGTTAGCGGGGTGTGGTGCAATTAGTGTGCTGTAGCGTAGTATATGTGTTTTTGCATTCGTCGTTGCAGTGGTAGTGTAGTGTGGTTGTAGTTGCAGTTGTAGTTGCAGTTGTAGTTGTCTATCTATCTATCTAACTATCTATCTATCTATCTGTCTGTCTGTGTGTCTGTCTATCTATCTGTCTGCCTATCTATCTATCTATCTGTCTATCTATCTATCTATCTGTCTATCTATCTATCTATCTGTCTTTCTGCAAAGTTGAAAACAAAGCTATTCTGGGAGACTCCCTCAAGTTTTGAACGTGGCAACGTCAAGAGTCAAAAGCGAAGAAATCCTGCGAGACTTCCTCAATTTTCAAGTTGACAACATGAAAAACGAAGCAGTTCCGTGCTTTGTATAATTTGACTTCGAAATGTGCTTTGCGCCATAACGGCGTGCACTTTTTCGACATCTCAACTTCAAAAAGTGCCCCGAGACCGACAGTTTTTAACACTTTTGACTTCGAAATGTGCTTCGCACCACAACAGCGTGCAATTCTTCATCTCTCATCTGGCCAGATGGCTCCGCACCCGCCGCTTTAGCGAGCCTACTTTTCGACCCTCTGGAGCCACAGTGATTCGCGACTTTCCTACCTTTTCGCGCACCTGCATCTTCTTTCTTCTAACTCTTTCTCTTCTCTGCTCTTCTTGCTTTTTCTCTTCTCTTCGCTGACTCTTCCCACCTCTGCTTTTCCATCTGTCCATATTGTCGGGAGTTTGACGTCTTCCTTCGATCAAAATAATAAGTTTTGAGCCTTTGACCCATCCCCAAATGATGATCAACCATCAAATTTAGGGCTGTGAATTGTTTCTCCATGTTCAGACAAAGCCATATTGGAATTAAGTCCATCGGTATTTGCTCAAAATGACGGTCGTTTTTGTTGGTTATACCTGGCTCTATCTCCGTTTCCCTTGGGTTACCCTCCAAGCACCAAGAATCGAACACACATTACAAACCAGTAGCCTCCCAGTAGCCTCCGGAAGGCCAAAAAACGATGGAAGTTCTTTAATCTGCGCTGTTCCTAAGTAAAACATCGCCTTAGGCGGATTGAGTCGGATTAGTTGGAGATGCATTGACTATATAGCAAACCCAAGGTAAACATCATCTATGTCTATAGTCAACCCCCGGATGAATAAACCACTAGGCTGCCGACTAGGCTGTGAAAAAAGTGGGGGTATCATTTTAGTAGCCTATTTCTACATATTATTACTATTTTAGAGGAGCCCTCAAATTAATCAACCAGTGTTTATTCCGGAATTACCCTATATATAATATAGTTGTATTGATTTTTGGAATCAGAGTTTGATCAGACATCGTCTTGACTGGGCCCCTGGACGTTGATCAGACTGGGATTGCTGCTCACAAAGTCCCTCACCTCGTGCTGCACAGCTATCCCAACTCTTCGAACAACACCAATACTGGCGCTGACGTTCCACATCCCAAAAAAAAATGGGTGAGTTCACCTCAGAACCTGTTTTTTCCAAAAAACATAGATACAAAGTTAGTTGGAACTGCGCTTCCAAGAAACATCAAGAAACCATGTGAGGTTACGCTCAAACACCAAACATCTGGGCCATTTGCCCAAAATCACCACCTCGCCTCATGACATTTTCGCGTTTTGGCCAGATCCAAGAGCTCGTGTGCATGGGCCACCTCCCGTTCCATGGCCCCTGGCGGCCCCTGGTGCGGTTGATCCCAAAATGACCTGACCCCCCAGATGCACCAAATTTATACCAAAAAATGCCATTTTAGGAGCCTGTTGAATGATTGTTGATCTGCTGCACAAACGTCACAAACGTTGAAGATGTGTTTCTTGTTGAGCGGGCTGTTGTACAGAGGGTCCTAGTGCGTTTTCCTCGCATGTTTGAAACAGCACCATGACTCGAAATAGAAAACACTTCCCAAAATCTCGAATGATGCATGGGAAGTAAACATCTAGCTATTGTAAATGCCGTTAAATGCCTTTCCCCCCACAATGATTCAATGTTTTCATATTTCTCATCCATGCTCATCATCCATACTTATCATCGGATCATCCATATTCGTCACATTTTGTCACTATTTACCCACACTTGAGAGCTTGGAATATCTCAGATCCGAATCCACTTGGCTTCCACAGAGCTGGAGCCAGCCAATTTCACGGTTCATGACACTCACAACTTACAACTATAGTTATATAAGGGGTTTACAGGTCAACTTATAACTCTGACCACATTGTAGACCAGACAGCTCACTTTTCTGAAGTGAATTTTGATGAATTTTGATGATTTTTGAATTCCTGACAACCAAAACTGCTGTGCTGCGCACTGCAAACCGACCGACCAACTCCACAAGATTTGCCAGGACCCCCAAGAACCCACACGACGGAGCTCCAGAAACACATCCCAAGATTCCCAAGAACACGACTGAACTGGGTTTGGGGCCTTCTTGAAAATCCAATCGGAAGAGCAGAAGCAAAATCCAGTTAGCGCGAATACATGTCAATACCTTCTGTCATTTGTGCTGACCGGTTGAGGGCGGGATTCCCATGAAGTGTGATACCATTCAAACAGCTGAGTACAATCCCAAACAAAAGCCAATCATTTCAACATAACCCTCTTGCAGGTTCAACTCCCGTTTTTCGAATGTTTTGGATGGATACATCAGCTCAAATCCAATCATATTCCATAAAACCCTGTTGCGAAAATATTATGTTTCATATTTTTATCATTTGTTGGAACAAGTACTGCGCCACACGCACAAGGGGCGGAGTCAAACCACAACAGGACAAGACAAACATCGGTAGCGACAACCAGTCGACAGATAAAGATACGACACCGTCGACCCCTCACATAAAGAACCCAAATGCGTGGTAGCGCAAACGGTTCGCAATTCGTCGACGTCGCCGTCACCGCAAATGAAAACGCATCTCATAAAACTCTGTCATGCAACGTTGAAAACGCAAAACCGAGTTCACCCAAAAATGCAACAAACATTGGAACATCACGCAATGGAAAATGCACATCACCGGTCACTGAGAAGCAATGAATGAAATGGATGGCGCAACACCTTTTTTGCGACAGAAAGATGGGGATCGTTCAAGTCCCGCCCATTTAGGGCTAAGGGAGTGGTTTGCTGCGGTGGTGGGTGGGTGGGTTTTTAGCTTGTTGCACCCACCCACCCACCACTGCAGCCAAAATTCAGTGGACATAAGATATAGTCATTGCATTCAACGACAAGGGTGTACATGACTCCATAGGTACTGCATTTCAAATGTTTTGATCATACCACATGGATGTGCCAAACAAAAAACCTCGGCATGTTTGTGTGCACAACACAACTGAAACAAGTTTGTGAGAAACAACTGACATCAGTTGAAAGCGTTTCAGTTTTGCCTTTTAAAACCTTATGTTTCCAATGCGGAAATAAGAAGCTTATTTCCGCTTCGCAACAAGTCAACCACAACAAGATGTGCAGACATATGCACAACAATGCGTCGCACTACGCTCAGTTACACCATTGTGCAACTTTGCAGAGAAAAAGGGCATACATATAAAACATCATCTGCTAAAGCAGAAAATAGCTAAAATTAAAAGCGGACGCAGTACGCACGCACGACGCGAAAACGCGTGCAAGAGACCCCACAACATGAGTGCACGCAGCAGTACACGTCGCAGAGAGCAAAGTGGCACATAGCCACAAATAAAATAGCGACTTTGTTCCTTTTCAGATAAAACTATATCTATTTCGTAGAAGAAAGCTTTCAGCATTGCAATTAAGAACCTGACTTCAACAGCGGCCAAAATCAGAAGCCGAACACCCACCACAACTGGCTCAAGTCTTGATTAAAGTGCGATTCCTGTCGTACTCTTTCCCCTTCTTCCCTCCATCCCTCTTTCTTTTTTCCAGCGAGGACAAGATCGGCCAGAGATCCCACTCCGAACTTGGCGACTTCACGCCGAAATTTCATGGCTCGGCACGCTCAGCTCACAATGCTCATGTCACCCAGCACACTTTGCTTCCAAATCTCTGGACCTATTTGGCTTTGAATTTGTGTTTGGACTGGCTTGAACGAAATGTTGCAGGAAAACCCCATCTTTGATCGGAGAACTCTGAGAACTCTTAGTTTTCTTTTTCAACGATGGTGAGGCTTTGGACTCAGGCCGGCTTTGGGCCACTTCTGTCTTGTCCAAGTGGAGGAAGTCAGCGGTGCGTCATCTCTGATCTTGCTTGAGACCCTCAAGGGAAAGAGCTTTGAAGCAGAATGCGAACTAGAAATTTTCAGTGGAAGATGCTGCAGCGAGAATTCCTTCGCGGTCGATAGAAGGGTCGGTTTAGGTGCAGATCTCCAAACATTTACCTATTTCTTGTTTAATGTGGATTACATTGATTACATCTCTCCTCATCAACCAGTGGGAACAAGGAAATCTATTGTTGTCAATACAGAAAAATCTTCCTAGACACGGAAGACTAAGTCTCGCTTGATAATTTCTGTGCAGAACACCATACCCCCGCCACAGTCAAATATCCAACAGCTCGGCCATTCGCCGTGCAAAAAGCTTTGATCTGATGCACAACTTCTCTGAAACCTCTGAATCACCCTCGCTTCAAGCAGAGTCCATGGACGAGATTCAACTGGTTGAGAATGCCTGCGTTTTTATTAGCCAATCTTAATCAACGTAGGAATACATATAGGATTCTTTCTGCAGAACAAGGTGGTCTTTACGGTCCAAAGATTGGTGGAGCTTGGTGGAAAGATGTTGGTAGTGTCTATGTCATGGTTGTGCCCTTGAATGATGGCCAACATGTCGTGTTTAAGGCAAAGAAAACTGAAACGCTCACGATATCAGAATCGACCGGTGACTCAAGTCTGGCGAAAGCTTGAAATCTTTGCATGTGCCAGGATGTGCCAAGCCAAGAAATCCAATGCTGGCTTTTTTCACTATCTTGATTGTGATCTGAGTCGGCAAAGGAACTTAGACATGCTATTTTTTTAGGATGTATGTATGCACTCGTCACTTCAGATCCAAACCTTCTGCAACTGTCCACAATAATCTAGAACTGTGCGACTGACTTGTCACGGGGCTGTTTTTGTTCGCCCTTGGTGTAACACGCGTAGTTCTCTCAGGCATGTTCAAATCAAGTTGGATTGTGATGTTCTCGCCACACTGTCGCTGCATCGTGTCAGAGTGGTAAGAGCGACCACATACATCCACATCATACATTATTACTACTTATAGCACTTGAGCCAAACCCTTTCGCCACGGAGGGCGCTTTGCTTACACCATGGCCTGCAAAATGACACTGTTTAAGAGGGGGCCTTTGATGTCACACTCTTTCTCAAACATTTTCGTGTCAAGTTTGGTTGATGTCCTCAGCACATAAAGCAAGAATTCATAGGAGTCTGATGTGACCCAAGAGATCTGACCCCTATCCATTTGGCATATACGTCCTGACATGTATACCTTCTCTAAATCTCTCTAAATCACTCTAAATCACTCTAAGTCACTCTAAGTCACTCTAAATCACTCTAAGTCACTCTAAATAACTCTTAACCATTCTCAGCCTCTGTGGGCCTTGGTTTTTGCAGCGAAACCCCTTGAAAATCGATCATTGACATCACATGAACCTGGGTTTTTGTGGCTTATGTTTTGGGCCTCCCATGGTCTTCCCAAATCTCTTATCCTAAAGAGGGCAACCCACAGAAATTGAGACCAAGGGTCGCCACAAGAGCATTTCAAGTCGTTTGAGATCATTTGAGTGGTAAGGGGTCAAAGGCTTGAAACCTCGTAAATAGCAGTGTTTGGGGCATGTGACCCCTATCCACTTATGGGGCGCCCCAAATTGTCATGGGATGTGCCCACACAGCTCATGTGGGGTACCCAAAATGGGACTGGGGAGCTCCAGAAAAGTTTAGCAACAGGGAGTGGGAAACGGGAGATTTGACTACATGCAAGATTGGTATTGGGATACCAGGACTTGGGGGCTAAACCTCACGTGGAAGGTTTAAACTTGTAACGTGTCACATCAGTTCCCTATTAAGAATGGCGAAGATTATTCGCAGCCAGGGCTGAGTCGGATGGGCACAACAGCGGAGTCATATACGAGACTGGGTGAGACAGAAAATGTTACTAGGTGAGCCAGGTACTGATGTTATTCGAACAAAATTGACCCAACATGTTGAGAGGGAAAGCCGGTTTCTCGGTTCCTAAAAACCTAAGATTGGTTTCGTGCAGTTTGGTTCTCGTGTGGAATACCCTACAACGTGCAGAAAACCTAAAAACGGCTAACTACAAACGAAAAATGGCAACTCCGTCACAACTCTTTGTGACGGAATGAGATGAGATCGATTAACTACATCACAATCACCTGCTAACTACAAAACAAAGTCCAAACTACGCAAGTCCACAAACTACAACTACAAAGCAACTAACAACTACCTAAGTTCAAGCACAAGATCGCGTAAAACTTTGACACACAAAGTTAGATCGCGAAAACCGCTTTCAAACCTCTCGTGCTCAAAGTAAACCCAAACCAAAACACAAACAAACGGCGATCGTTTCGCGTTTCTGCAGTATCGACTCTCCCTGCTTATGCTTCGCACCACGATCGACGTTCCCATGCTGGGCACACTCATTGAGCGACATGGAGATGGCCTGTTGGAAGAAGCCTTGATGCCGGTAGGATGGCCCCTCAACCTCAACGGAGCAGTGAAGCAGTGGTGTCTGCACAAGGACCACTCCTTTAAGGACCTGGAAAAGCTCCTCGCCGAGTATGACATCGTGCGACCGCTCATGGAAATCAATCCCAAAGCCCCTCAAATGAAAGTAGGCGCTGTCTGGAATAAAAAGTACATGGAGGCGCCTGCCGGCAGAACCTTTAAAGAGATGTGGCATGCCAAGGAAAAACTTCATAAACATGAAATTTCCGATTCACGAGGAGGACAACGAGACGAGGAGGACAACGAGAGGAGGAGGACAACGAGAGGAGGAGGACGACGAGAGGAGGAGGAGAGGAGGAGGAGAGGAGGAGGAGGAGCAGGCAACTTAGATAAAATCTAACAACCCTCACCTGGCAGGTGGGGAACAAAGCAAGATAATTTGGATCCAAGCGCAACACCTACGACATCGACACCGATGAAGAGGTCCTTGATGATGTGGACTCCGACCTGGAACCTCCGGCACAACGCCGAAGGCTTTTGGATCCCAACTTCTCTCGGACATCCCCTGCGCCATCTCTGGCCTACTCGCCTTCTGTTGCTCCTGATGCTGCAGAATTGGATTTAGATGAGGCTCCACCACCTGATGGGTCGCTTGGACTTGAACCCAATCAGAAAGCTGAACTCCCAGCCTTGCCTCCACCTGCCGGGTCGCTTGGACTTATGCCCGGTCAGGATGCTGGAGTTCCCGCTGCTCCCACTGGACTTGAGGAGACAGCAGCTCAACCTGGACTTGTTGAGCCTGGGGCCATTGGACTTCCTTCCACTATGGACTCTGCAGCGGAACAAGCCGGAGAACCCAGTCCTGATTCAGTGCAACCTCCACCTCAACTCGATCCAACTACTTCATCAAATCAACCTCAACGACCTCAACCTCCAGTTCCAGAACTTGATCCTTACACAGCTGCACTCTATCAACCAGCCACTGATGAGGACTTTGCAGCCCACAGAAGGCGTTTCCAACAACAGGAGACCATCTCCTTTGGACCATATCGACGGCTACCAAAGATCCCAACACCATATGATCGACCTCCTGAAGAACCACCTGAAGAAGCCAACATGGCGTCCTTTGACATTGATGACCTGGATGTCTCAGCATTGCCTCCATGCTGGAAATTTGAAGATGGCTACATCACTTTGGATGACCTCAACAAGGACTACTGGGAACTTAAAGCTGGCTGCTTGATTCGGCACCACGTTGTCCCTCGTCGATCCCTATTTGATCCTCGAGCTCTATCAGCCAAAGAACTTGCACATCTCCCAGTTCCTCTATCCAAACTTGACCAGGTGCGTGTCACTGTCTGTAAGGACCAAGAGGGCATTTGGCACAGATCTGACTTCTTCAACAACGGCACCGGCACCATTTCTAATACACCTTGGACTGGCTGCACTGTTTTCCAACTCAAGGGCGAGACCAGACACGAACTTGGCCTCTATGCTTACTCCGCCATGACTGCCAAGCAGATGGGCAAAAAGCAGAAGACTCAAGCCCAGCGAAAGTTTCGCAAGGCAGCTCCCAAATCAGAGGTCAACGAAAGGAAGCTATCGCTTGAGGACAGACTTCTTTTCCACCAGGCCAAGGTGAAGGAACTCAAAAGCTTCTTTGACAACGGTGTATGGACTTTTCAGACCACCAAAGAAGCTGATGCCGGCAGAACGTTGTCAAGCCGTATGCTTCTCAAATGGTCAAAGAACAGCGATGGCACACCTCGTGCCAAAGCCAGACTTGTGGTGCGTGGATATGCTGACCAAGATGCGCTCAATGGCGAACTTGACACCACATCGCCTGCATCTACCAGACTTGGCAGAGCACTGTTTTTGTCAATATCAGCTAGCCTTGGATGGTGTGGCTGGTCGGCCGATGTTAGCACGGCATTTCTTCAGGGTTTGCCCCAAGAACGACGTCTTTGGGTACGACTTCCAGCTGATGCACTCCGAATTCTTGGAGGCGATGAAAATACAAGGATGTTTTTGTACAAACCAGTTTATGGTCAGTTGGACGCACCCAAACGATGGTTTCTAGAAGCCACGCGCAGACTGCGCAATTTGGGCTGGCTGGCACACCCTATGGATCCCTGTCTCTGGAGGCTCTATGAACCTCCTGTCGATGGTGCTGAACCGCGACTTGTTGGACTTTTATGCCTCCACGTCGATGACATGCTAGGTGGAGGTGATCCACAATCTGCAGTGTATGTTGAAGCTGAAGCACAGCTCAAAACAGCTTTTCAATTTCGCACTTGGCAGAAGGATGGAAGTTTTGAGTATTGCGGTGCCAGCATGACACGAGACACAGATGGTACTTGGCATGTGAGCCATGATGAATACATCAAAAAGATCCAACCAATTCCAGTTGAAAAAGGCCGACAGTCCCATCAGCCTTTGACCGAGAAGGAACAGACTCTTTTGAGAGGTTTGCTTGGAAGTCTTCAATGGCCTGCTGTGCAATCTTCACCGCACATCCAGGCGAGCACTTCCTTGTTGAGCGGCGAGATGAGCACTGGACTTTCTTCAGCTCTTTTAGAAGCCAACAAACTCTTGCGTTTTTGCAAAACCAACAGTGATGTTCATTTGCGTTTTCCTCCGTTGGGCAAGTTGGAAGATCTTCGTTTGAGCTGCATGTTTGATGCTGCCTTGGGAGTTCGTCATGATGGGTCTAGCCAAGGGGGTTACATAGTTCTTTTGACTCACAAGGACACCTTCAACGGCACAGAGAGCCCATACCATGTTTTGGACTGGAGATCCTTTCGACTTCCGAGGGTCGCGAGATCTTCACTTGCAGCAGAAGTTCAGTCTGCCGCCCAAGCTGTAGACTCCACTGAGTTTGTTGTTCGTTTTTGGTACATGACCATGCACCCAAATGCTAGCCACAAGGAGACTTTGAATGTGAGGGATCCCAGTTTGGCTCCCATCTTTGTCACTGACGCCAAAGCCTTGTACGACAGTTACCACCGAGATGCCATCAACCATGGTGCCACTGACAAGCGCACCAACCTTGAACTTAGAGTCCTACGAGAACAAGTTGAGAGCATTGGTGGGATCTTGAAATGGATCTCTTCTGAGAGACAATTTGGCGATGGTTTTACAAAGATGGCTGCAAGGCAACTTCTTGCAGATCGAGTTCGACATGGTTCCATCAAGTACACCTGGGACCCAACATACCAGGCGTCAAAGAAGAAGACTGCACAAGAGCGAGCTGAAAGCAGGAATGAATTTACCACACAACTTCCATTTCACAACCACGATCATTTTCCACTCAACAACTCTACCAACCACAAAGCAGTGAAAGTTGGAGCAAACGAGACGGAAGCCTTAGAGACCTTTGAATCCAACGAGATGTTTGACACCAACGAGGCTTCTGAGTTTGAGCAGCACTCACCGAATGAGTACCAGCCTGAAGAGACCTTTGAGACTGCAGAGAACCAGTTCCCTGTTGAGGCCTGCTCCAGCCATGGCGGCGGCTCCGGCGTTTTGCGATATGTGTTTTTACTGACACTTTTCCAAACTGCCCGTGCTGCGAGCTTTGGTAGAACTGATGTCTGCAGCATCGACGATGCACCACTGGAATCATCGGATGCAGATGACCTTTTGCATTTCTTTGTTTTCGTGGCGACCGTCACTTGCATGTTTGGTCTTTGGTTTTTCTGGACTGCACGGAAGCTGAAGGCAGAAGTTTTATCCCTGAGGGATGAGTACGCCCAGTGCCGTGAAGCAGAAGGACATCTGAGGAACGAAACGTTCCAGCTCCGCGACCAAGTCAGAACACTGAATGCTCGAGCCACCGATTTGGGCTCACGCAATGTGGATCTGCAACTGCAACTCGACAGCGATGAAGAGATTCGCTTTCAACAGCGATTGAATGACCGACGGTCAATTTGGACGGCGATGGGTCTTTTAGACCGTGCCCTGGATGAGACCATAGGACTGCGAAACACTCATGCCTTTTTCGCACCATCTGGAAGATGTTGGCACAGTCGATCTGACTGTCAAGGTCTCAACACTGCCGACCAATTGACTGAGCGTGATCCCTGCAGTTTTTGTCTAGTTTCGATGCCACCGTACATCGTGCATGAACATACTGGAAACACGCTCTTGCAAGCATGTCGAACATTCTTTGATCTTCATGGTGGCCGAGTTGATTACATGGATACGGTAATTCATGATGTCCCTAGTTCATTTACCTGAGATCCGCGGTGAGTGCTTTAAACTCCTTTTTCTCCCGTGTTGATTGTGTGCCACACACTCAGGTTTCGTTTGCATGGAACTCAGACGTTTCATATATGCCACTGCCGTGGCCATTTTCCTTTCAATATATTTCCCACAGAAGAGGTGGGTGCTTCGAAGCCAACCAGAACGCTACGCTGCAAAAGACTTCGCGTGCTTTGCCTGCACTACTTTTTGGACAAGGACTTCGTGCAACTTGATCCTGCAACTGCTGCCCAGTTGATAGAAGTAATATTCTGGAAAGGGTGGTTGCTCAAGTTCTCCGCTATTTGCACCACCATTGAACAAGCCGCAGCACCTGTCGTCCGTGCTCTTGATGTTGCAAGGTGTCCAGCGCTGAAGGTAAGACTTGTGGCAGAAGGTTCCGATGAAGTTTGGATAGATCACACCCGGTTTCGAATCTGGGTCGGGGCAAGAATAATCGTTCACATCAGCAGGTGCCTCCATACACGTGTAAAGAGATGTTTCCTGTAATGTTGCAACAGCCTTTTTCTCCTTGCTGAATGGGGCGCCAGTGATGAATCCAGCCCCAAAGCCGCTGCAAAGGTTCATCATGTTTCCATCTTTCTCAACCTGGGGTAGAACTTTCATGAACTTTCTCCCTGAGGGTACTGGTTGAAAGAAGATAGTCAAGCTGAAAGACTCCACTGTCTCCTGTGGCTTTTGCATCGCCAATTCCCAGGCTCTGAAGTGTCTCCTGACGCTTCCCAGATGCTATGGTGAGGTCCACATGTTTTGAGCGTCAGGCTTCCACTTCAGGTCAGCACACGCAAGCGCCTCGTCACAACGTTCACATTCTCAGTGTCTCCAATCAGGGGCACTGGATTTCCTCCAGTACCCAAGCCCTCTGGAGGATCATAGCGTGACTTCATCTGCGTTTGCAAGGCACGGGTGTCATCACTGGGGCACTCTTCGCACCACGTGGAGACGACCCCAACTGCCAACATGAGCTTCCCCAACATCGTAGCAGATCCCGTGGGCAGATGCAAGAAGTGCGTCTGCGATCGAAAAAGGCCACGGCTTCATGTGCCAATGCTGAAACACACAACAAATTCCCTATGCATGCAACACTTCTTCGCCAGATTCCACAAAATTTTGTGTTTGTTGAAATGATTTTGGGATTCCCCCCGATTTCTGCATCTAACCTATCTGAAGGTACCACACTTACCAGGATACTGGACCTATGTCCATTGGGGAACATCCAAGAACATGTCTGGTGTGAAATGGGGGTTCCTAAATGGGGGCAGCCGAAAATAGATGGTTTATCATTTTTACTGGAAAATCCGATTCAAATGGATGACGTGAGGGTATCCCCATCTCAGGAAAACCCCCCAAATCCTTACGCAGTGACAACCCAAGCAATTGCAACAACTCAGCCCTGCAGATCCTTTTTTGAATCGATGATGAAACTTCGTCAGCTTGGCTTCATTTTCTCCAGCAACTCAACCAATTTGGCGGGTGAGTTCTTGTCCTGGCCAAGGCGGTCCCAAATCCTTCAAGTTCTGAACCCTTCGAGTCGTATCGAGTCGGAAGACTCTACCTGGAATCGGCTTTTCCCAGATCCGCCCTTGGGTAAAAACCTTCCGTTGGTGTCCTGAATTTTGCGCCATGAACATCATGAACACCCCAATGTTTCTTGGGAATCCCCCAGGGCCCATCCAAAAAAATTGGTCCCAGCAGCCATATCCCAATCCCACCCACCGCTAATCTCAATTAGTTGAATCACCATGTTTCATAGTGAAATCCGCATTTTAGTTTTCTTAATCCCGTGATTCATGGGATAAATCCTCGTGTTTCATGCTTAAATTATCTTAAATCCCCATCTTTCCCTGGTTGAATCACCAGCTTAGGTGCAAAAATTCACCAGACCACCCCCTTCCCAGCAATCCCAGCCCGGCCTTCACCTTGGCCGCGAAGTCCCGCGCGTTGTTGGCGCACCGCTCCCCCCGCGGTCCCTCCAAGGCCTTAAGGCTCGCCACTAAGCCATCGGCGGTGAGAGCGTTCATGGGACCGGCGTTGACGCCTAGGAATTCGTTGATTTCATGGGATTTTCATGGGAATTTTCTCATGGATTTGATGGGAGAATTTATGGGATGTTGGAAAATCAGACCCTTCGGTTTTTCACGTAGCGAACTGGAAAATCACCATGTTTCAAAACGGTAAATCATCATGGTGATCATCGAACCAAATGGGGGCTTCCATGTCAAATACCCAGATGGTGAGTTCATGATTAAAGCACACCCTAAACACCCCCCAGAAACCATGGTCTAGTTGTGGACAATGATCAACACCAGGAGACATGATATTATTGTTATGTTTATTCATTATTCCTAATGGATGGACGGATGGATGGATGGGACGGGACGTGATGGAACCGGACGGGATAGGTTGGACAGATAGATAGATCGATAGATAGACAGACAGATAGATAGATAGGTTTTACATCGTTTTGCGGAATGGATTCCTCAAGGGTAATTGTGGGGGATTGAAGTGCCAAAAATCGAAATAGATTTGGGAAGAACAACAGCTGGATTCTGAAACTCGCACAATTGGATTAAAGGAAAGTTCGGGGTAGAAGCCTTCCTCTTCGGTGGAAACAACCATGGTTCCTGCAGATTTTCCCACCCGTCCATAGCCCACAGAGACGATTATGGGATGAAGATGGGAATGGATTTCTGAGAGTGGTGTTTTTTGTACCAAAAACGGGAGGTTTATGATGGGAAATTTCTAAGTGGATTATAAATTATAAACCATCCATTTGGGGGTATCCCCATTTATGGAAACCTCCATTGGACTGTTACTGATGATTGGATGATGGGATGATGGAATGATGAGTTTACCATTGAAAGCAGGGCCTAGAATGGTGCTGTTGGAGATGATCTTCGAATCTTTCAAGGTGCCACAGGCTGAATCCATGATGCACGGACAAAAACTTGGGTTTAGAATGGGGCTGTACTCTTCTATTGTAGATGTTCCTAGAAAAACTTTGGAAAGTACGCACAACTGGGCTGGGAGATGGAGATGGGAATGGGAGTACTGGGAATCAAACATGGCTGGAAAATCCCCAAACTAAATGGAGGTTTTAATGGGAAATTCATCTATCAATGCTGGACTTTCAATTACGACGTTTGACTGCTGGAATCGATCCTGAAATTGGAAAATCTACATCCCGCAATGCACTCCCGCAAAGGGGTTGTGAATGCGACAGCAGGGTTGGCTACCATTGATATTAGAACGGCCAGGGGTGTCACTGTGAGATATGGGGGAATCATCTGGTTTTACGAGTTTCTCGGGAAAAAACTCCTCGTACATCCCCCGAAGAAATAGGAATCATGCGTACATTTATATTTATATCCTTTAAAAATCCATCATTGCAGGATGGTAGCCATGAACGGATACTCTCACTGAAAGGCATGGCATGTTCATCCGACATCCCAAAAAAAGCTGCTGCTATCCCTGCAAACTTGGAGATGCAGTAGGTCATGTCGACTGGAAATCACTTGCAACCAAGTAATTCCATGGCCCCCAAAATATCAACACCCCTATAAATGGCCATCATACCCAAAGACATTCAAACCTCCAGGGCGATTTCAGTTTAATGCCCTATATCATACCCCCAGACATTCAGGTAATCCAGGGCCCTAACCTGTTCCAAGCATCCCAATTCTCTGGCATCAATCAGCTTGGCAAACACAAATTGGTCCCCAATGAGCGGAGCGATGATCGCTGGGATGCCTGCTCGCAGGGTGCTATGAAGTACTCCTGCGCCACCATGGCTCAACATACACCTGCACCGCGGAAGCCTCAGTGATGAACCAGGGAAACCCCGAAGAACGCATGGCACATTAAGATTCCTCCGGTGGTTTGAACGTAAGGTTGGAAGATCATGCATGGTTTAAGTTGTTCCGGGATGTTGCTTTAGATTTTAGATTGTTGGTACCTCGGCGGCCCCGGGGCGAAGGGGCCAAAAAAAAAAAACAAGACCGGTCAACCCCCGAAAAAGAACCATTTTTAAAGGGGAAAATGAATGAAAATGATCCGTCAGCAGTGGATTTAGGAGTCCCTATGTTCAAATAAACCATCATCGTTTTCACAAACTTCAGCCGAGCAACAACCATGGATAGGCTACCTGAGCCAGGTCAAGGGTCTAGCAATCACGCAAGCGTGATCTTTGAGGCTTCCATGACTTAAGAAATCCCAAGTGTGGATGGCAAAAGCGGGAAGGCTTGCCCTCAGAATGGCCGAAACATCTTTCATTTCGACAAATGCTTGGGAAAATTCCCAGTCATCAGTCTGCAAAAACTAAAACGGTCAACTGCCATCTGGAACACCTGCAAAGATGCCCTTCCATTCAAAAATTCCCCTTGAAACTCAAGAAAAAACGTAGACTCACACGCCAAAAACCGTGCTATCCCACCGTGGTCGAGCAGCACTATCCACCTGCAAGATGTTCTTCTTTGTCCACTCCGTTGCTTGAAAGTTGGCCAAGGCCTTTCCCACCAGCACGGCAGGACATCGCAAGGATTCCAGTCCCTGGATCACCGCTTCTGCTTGTCCAAACCTGAAATCTGTGGCCCTGTTCATTGAGGCCTTCTTAGAATGGGGGATCCCTAAAACCATAGGTTTCAATACTAAATGTTCTCTAAAATTATACTAAAATGATCGATTTTTGGGTGATTTGGGGGTGCAGTACCCAACATTTTAGAAAGCCTTCAATTGGCTTTGCGGGTGATACCTCTCAAAAGAAATAGAGTGTCATCTCTGCTTGGTGGTTTCAACCCATTTAGGCGGTTTTGTTGTTCCAGAGACGGAAGGAACTACAATTAATTGCAACTGCCAAGCCAAATAAAACGTAGGAGTTGGACACGTCACTCTTCGCATTGGATAAAAACAGGAAAACATATCTTTTTCAGGGACAAAATCCATGGTTTCCTGAGTTTTCCTGCAGAATTGCCCTTCAAAAAATCCCAAAAATCACTTCAGAACACCTCCAGCCATGGCTACGGACACTTCCGAGCTGCGGCATGCTGCCAAAGCCGATCGCCACTGGCGGATTCCCGTCCCCGAGCTCCTGCAAGAACTGCAGAAGGTCGCTGGGCTCTGAAAAGCTGGCGGGAATATAGGCATCTGCCAAGGCGCCGATATCCTGAGAGCATTGCCTTTTGTTGGGTGAAAATTCTGAAACTGGTGAATAGAAAACCACCTAGATTTCCTGTTTCAAAAAGGGCTTTGTCTGAGAATGGGGATTCAAAGACAAAAATTATCAATTGCTACTGTCATTTCTGGCTTTGTCTGAAATTGCTGCATTTACCACCAGGTTGGGAAAATGATGATCAAGCGACAAACCCACTTCTGGGACCTTCCGGGCTTCCAGGATGTCGGGGTCGAGACTCGATTTGTTCGATAAATCCGGAGAAATCTCACGAAAAATGGTCGAGAAATGGTCGAAAAATTGTGTTCCGCCCATCAGCCCATCAGCCGCCCCCTGCCGCTGAGTGACATGGATATGGCCTTCTGCCGGTGCTGGACACAAATCCGAGGAGAAGCAGTTGAAGCCGTGGGCCAGATCCTTGACAGAGATGGGGTTTACCTAAAATATGTAAACAACCGGTGAGACGTATGGAAAAAGAAAGCAAAGTATGAAAAAGGATAGAAAAGTACGGAAAAATGCGGGAAAATACGGGAAACATGGGAGAATATGGAAAAATGTCCAAACATGATGGAACATTGTGGTGAAACAGCCAATTTGGAGGGACACGAATGTTTCAATGGCCGATTTTTGTTGGGTGTGAATCCTCCCATCAACATCGCCCAGCGGCAGAGGCTCCACCAAACATGCTGCGGAAGTCCTCGAAGGAAATCATGGCGTCTGTTCCCAGGGTCTCATCCACCACTTTCTGCAGATCTTCCTCGACGGCGGATGAACCCCACAAGACGAAAAACCAAAAGTCCGTGCGCAAGAATCGGTATATGATGTACACTGAATAGTGGTTGATGCTTTTCAACGCTGTTTACTACGAGTAAAAAACAAGCCCACCGCATTGTCCTTAAGAAAGTCGAAGTTGTACTGCTCGAACGTCCAATAGGTCTGCTCATTCTCATCACTGGAACCTCCCTTCAAGATGCAATCCACAGCATTTTCTGCACCTCACTGGATCAAGCAATAGTTCTTCAACCTATATATATAATATATATATATATGCCTTTAGGAGGAGGAATAAAACATGCACTTGGAGGGTCTTTCATCAACTTGCTGGTATGATATCCACCAACAAGACTTGTTCAGGGTGGTATGGATCAGCTCGGGCTGCGCAGGCGAGTCGCTGTAGTGCGGGAAGGCTTTGGTGGGAACCAGTGGTTGCAAGTGTATCAAACCCACCTGGCCGGTACTGAAAGCTGCCATCCAAGACCCTTTGAAAAGGCTGTTCAAGTGGCAAAACTTGCTCCAAACTCAGCCGTAGGTTGAAGAGCTGGAACTCCCACAGTGAAAATTTGTGCTCAGCCCACTTGTTCGGTTCTTGACGTAGTCCCCCAACCTCCCAAACCTCCCAAACCTCCCAAACCTCCCAAACCTAGTCAGTCCCCCATCCTCCCACCTCCCAACCTCAAATTAACTTCCCAGAATTGGCTTGCAACTACAGGTACCAGCCGCATCCAGTGCTACCCCAGCCACCGGTTTCCGAAGCATCTTCCCAATGCAAAAGCACATGTGCCGTGGCAAGCTGGAACACACCAGCACATCGCAGCCTTCGGCAACCTTCCTTGGGAGCCGCAGCAGGCTTTGTCCAACCAGCCCCAGAGATTGCGAAGGGACTCTTAATGGGATGAACCTTCCTATTGGGTACCGTCTTTGGGGCTCCCAGCCCATGAAGTTTCAAGAGTTTTCAAGGGATGTCTGATCTTGTACTGCGCGGTTTGTTTGTAAATGTGTAAACCAAACATTTGAGCAGTGTCCAAGACCTGGTCCCATTGATTCTACTGGTTGGTCAACGGGCATTCCCAAAATGCGCACCAAGAACTGCCAAGACAAAGGGTCAACTTCCTAGCTGTGCTCTGTGGAAACCATCACAATTTCAGCCAAGCTGCAAGACATCCTTCATGCACGGCAACACCTGGGCTGGCGGCGTCACCCCGCCCCGGTTGGGGACCAAATGGAGCAGTTTGGCACACTCCACCTGCAACATATCTGTCCGAGATTGAAACCAGCGCGAAGAGAGATTCTGGCAAGTACAAGTCACAAGTTCATGGAAAACATATATATGATGGATGTTGGTAAATGGATGTTCATCCCCCCATCAACCCCTTGTCCAGTAAAGATTTGGACCCATTCCGATGTGCTAGCGCAAAACAGCAAAACACCTACTGGTCGGTGGTTTCAGGTCTCAACCAATCGAACAGAGATGAGTCAATTGGGATCATCGTTCCATTCTTAGGAGTGGCGATTGGCAAAAAACAAATGGAAAAAAAACATAGTTCATCCCCAAGTAGATCCAAGTAGTGCTTTAACTCACCCATTTTGGTCAACGTTCCAAGCTTCCCCCACCATCCGTCCAGCGACCAATTGACTGACCACCTCGGCCACGACACCTACAAACCTCAAGTAGCTGGGTACCAGAGTGGTGAAGCTTGGTAGGATCAGTTGGTTCCAGATGATCATCCGCCGAGACACCACTGGGAGGCCACCCAAAAAAAAAGTGGCTACACGACTTGCAGTTGGAGGGACATTCATGACTGCCATGGTAATAACCCCCATGAGTTGGGATATAACGTTCACCAAGATGGACCTATGGCCGAGCCACTTGACGCGTGGATTTTCGTGGTCTTGGCCATATCGCGGCTTAGCCGCGTACGTGTAGAAATCCTCAATGCTGACCACTGGCTGATATGTGCGCTCTTTGTTACTATGGCAGCTCCAAAAAAAATGGAAAAAGAACGAAAACCCACCCAAAAAATAGAAAGAAAATCATGTTCATCTTGGGACCACTGTACTAACTATACCAGAAACATCAGGGAGGAATAATGATTTTTTTGCATCCCACAACACTACAAGCCACGTCTCCTTCCTGCGCGCGTCCAAGGATCAGTAGTACTGAAAGGGAAGGGATGCAGGGTCACCAACCTTGGCATCGGAGTATCCCAAGCCAGTTGAGGCTGGTTGGTGGTGGTATCGTGGTGTCTATCATCTCCAATAGTCCTATCTAATAATAGGTTCTAACATGCATATTCTAATGTGTTCTAGTTATAATATAATATAATATGACTAATCGAAGGAAGTTTAGAAGTCAAACTTCCGACAGTATGGACAGATGGAAAAGCAGAGGTGGGAAGGGTCAGAGAAGAGAAGAGAAGAACAGAGAAGAACAGAGAAAATCAGATAAGGAAAGAGTCAAAAGAAAGAAGATGCAGGTGCGCGAAAAGGTAGGAAAGTCGCGATTCACTCTGTTTTTCCAATGAGTTGTGGCTCCAGAGGGTCGAAAAGTCGGCTCGCTAAAGCGGCGGGTGCGGAGCCATGTGGCCAGATGAGAGATGAAAAGTTGCACGCCGTTGTGGCGCGAAGCACATTTGCAAGTGAAAACGCTAAAAACACCTGAGCACTTTTGGAAGTTGAGATGTCGAAAAAGTGCACGCCATTGTGGCGCGAAGCACATTTCCAAGTCAAAATAATGTACCAAACACACCATGTTCGGACCACTTTTGGAACTACAACTACAGCATACTACAGCTACAGATACAACTACAACTACACTACATTACACTACACTAATTCCACTACACTACAACTACAGCTACAACTACAACTACACTACTTCACTACACTACACTACACTGCACTACAGTAGACTACATTACACCACTAATTACACCACACCACAACTGCAACTGCAACTACAACTACACTACACTATGTACACTACGCTACAACTACAACTGCGCTACACTACATTACAACTACAACTCCGCTACACTACATTAAAACTACAACTACAACTGCACAACACCACACTACATCCAGCAGTTGTGGGAGAGGTAACCACTGCAACCATTCCAACCACTCCAAAAAACACAACTCCAACCACCTTTCGGTCCATCAGTGGATTCGCTCTGCCATCCATGCATCACAACAACTCACCTCTCCGATAGTGTCCTATCCTTGAAACTTCCGCCACCGCCTTGTGCGGTACTACTGGTATGACTAATTCATCCTCTCCTATGACCAAAACCCTGGTATTGTGGTGCATCTCTTCGGGCTGTTTGTTTTGGAGTCGCAGGCTGCGAAGGCCTCTGAGAGTTAGCCGCAGCTTAAGGGGTCCAGCCAAGTCACGAAGACAGCAGCCATTGGTCTCCAGCAAAAGAAACAAGGCAACAAAAAATCACCATGTTTGGTAACACAAGCTAGAAATATGGGATGTCCACTGCCATGTAAGATTACCACATTTCCCAACCAGAAACCAGTATACACGTTCACCAACTCAAGCCGATCCAGATCCGATCCGCTCTTTCCCCCAATGGATTTTGAGGACCTTGATCCCCATTCGTTGGCTCCCATCCTGTCATGGGTCAAATCCTGTCATGGATACAATCCGGATTTTCCCAATTTTAATGAGTCAAATCTGAATTTTCATGGTGAAAATGCTGACTTTAGTTAAACCCCAAAGATTAACACACAAAATGACTCCTTTTTAAAGCCTTTGTTGCACCTCTGGCCACATTCCAAACTCACCCAATGTATCGCCAAGGGTCTCCGGCTTTGCCTCGGGGCCGGCTGATTTTTCAACGCGGCCCCCCATTTTTGGGCCCTGCTTGGTTAGGATACGATGCAACTGGCATGGGATAATCAATGGTGAACCCATCTCTCCACCTTGGGAAATAGAATCCATGCTATTGCCATATGTTTAGTCAAATCCGTGCTTCTGTGGTTTGAGCTCCCGTTGATATAAATCCCTCAGTTTATGAATCCATGTCGTTGATGTTCATCCCCAAACTTGCAGGATCACCCACAAAATTTCGTTATACATATATATTATATATGTATATATATGTGTGTATATATATATACATATATATCATATATATATACACATATATATATATATATGTATATATATATATCCCAGTTACAAGTGGGGCAAGGCCTATACTTCCTATATCTCCCTATACTTAGACTATTTGGAACTTCTCAACCAAAACAATGGAACCACAGCCCTGGACGACCTCACAAAACACCCCAGGCACCGGCGCAAAGTTGTGCTCCGGCTGCATGTAGAGATCCACCACATGCCCGGCGGCCGTCAAGGCATCCGTTAGAGCCTGGCTGGGTGGAAGATGCACATGGGGATACCACCAGACATTGGCAATTTTCATGGGGAGTATTCCATATTTAATGTGGTTAGCATACCACCAAATACCATATTTAAATATTTAAGGGGTAAAACACATGGTGCTAACTAACGAATGGATTTGGGGTAGCCTCTGGTGTTACACTTTGGGGAAGTTCTTTGCCTGGAATGGCTGGGCACATCCCCAGTCATGTTGGGAGTCGAATTTTTCGAGCCAATGTTGGGGTAATTTGCTGTTGATCCATTCGCAACTGGGGCGCAAAACGATGCAGCAAGTCTGTGAAAAAGCCTAGATTGGTATGGCCACCATTGGTAGGCTATCTGCAACAAAAGTGGACCGACTCAGGTTGCAGGAACATGGAAGGAAGCAAAGTGGGTCAAGAACTGGCTGTTTCAAACGGCAGATATTTTGGCAAATGGAGGTTGATTAAGTAGGGAGGTTCCCACCAAATAGTGATGTCATCTGCTCAGAAAATGGCAACCCTCCCCCCAATTAAACAGCCCATGGGTTTCTTGGTCCAGGGCTGACATTGTCCAATTTTTGGGGCAAGTAGACCCAGTATCCAAAGGTTTCCTGATACCTGACACCTTGTGCAGTTAGCTGGAGTCCGAGGATTTCCTTTGAGGCTTGAGATTGGATTGAATTGGATATCCTGGTATCCTCCAATGATCTCCAATGTATCTACGTACGCTAGACACAATGATCGTGATCATCATCAGTGGCATAATCTCTCATTGGACGATTCCACATCTTTATACCATTTAAATTTACATCCCACTTCGTGGTATAGCGTCATGCTTACCCGCTGGAACGATCGTTGATCCGATCCAAACCATGATGCCATGGGTCGCCTGAAAGGGTTCTGCATCACCCCGCGAGCCCACAGTGACCAACAACAAGCGCATGGCGTAACGCCGGTGACAAACCACAACGCCTGTGACTTGGTTTCTTGGTGCAACATGGGTCAGTGACGGTCAGTGGTTTGATTTCGTTATCCAAACATTCGTTTGGAACATCAAAATGGCAACATCAAACCAAGCGAATAAAACCATCAGTGGAGCCCCATTGCGCTTAGTTTTTGCAGAAACCATGAGTTTCCAACTGCGGAGTTTTTCGTCATGCTACCGGGGTCCTGGCCATCCCTCGAACTAGCCCCACATCCAAGGCAGGCTGCTCCTTTTTTCAGCTGAAATGATCGCCGAGGGCATCTGTCCTCGCAGTGGTTCAAGTCATATCATGTCACAATTTCACAAGCGACAAGGCGATGAAACTAGCAAAATCATGCGAAGTACCACATAGATTCCATCAAAATGTCCACTGTGTGCAGACGTGGGGCTGTTTCGAAGGTGAGCAATCAACCAGCCTGCAAGTCTGCAAGTCTGCAAGTCTGCAAACTGTGGTTTTCTCGCAGCCTACCTGGGCAGCAGCAGCAGGCAGCGACAGATGTGCCAACGCAGCAGGTTCCCTGGTTTCAATTTGGATGATGACGTTTTAAACACAAGCAGCCGGGTGGACCGACACAGTATGTTTAATGGTTCCATGATTTCCTCTTCCCACCACGAATTTCAAACCTTCACGAATGGAAACGTTTGGTTGCGTTTAGATTCAAACCACATATGGGTGTGTCTTAGGATGGGGTATACAAAATGTTGATGGTTTTTCATGTTATCATCATCTTCCCAATTCAATGACCATTTGGGGGTCTACCCCAAGTTCAAACATCCATACCTTCAACTGGGCCATCTTGGTAGCAGCCTTTGAGCTGGTCTTTGACTAAAAAAATGGCACCACCATAACCTACGTGGCCCCAAGTCACAACGGACCCATCTGCCAGGATCGCAGCAAATGCGAACCAAGTTGATTGAACTTGTTGGACACTTCTGAGCTGATCTTGGACGACAGAGCTGTCACCACCAGCATTGGGCCCCAAGTCACCACTGACCCATCCACCAGGATTGCAGCAAAGGCGCTTGAAGTCCCCAAGTGACAACCCGGTCACCTCCAGAGCAATGTAGGATCCACCAGACTGGGTCTGCAGCAACAAAGAACCCTAAACTCCCCTACTTTGGAGGACTGTGGGAGCGAAAATGTCTCGACATTGCCGCTTGGCAAAGCTACACTAATTTGAAGCATCGGTCAGCATAAAACCACCAAGCTATACTAATTATACTAATATGGTAAGCTCGTGCAAGCAGCAAATAGCAATTGATGGCCCGTCACAAAATAGGTGGTACTTATGCTACTCTGGTTTTTGGGCCAGGCAATCCAACGAGGTGGGCCCCCACAACAGCAAAGTTCGTGGTTTTCTGGGTGTCAATTTGCGGCTAGCGACATATTTTATGGGTATAACTATCCTTTGATGGGCATAACCAACTTATAACCAGGGAAAAACCACCTTGCATGATTTCATTCTGCGCCTGTGCCCCAAGAAATCTTGTTGAAATCCGGACTATTGCCAGTCCAGACGAAGTCTGTAGGGGCTTACTTCCTTGTGCATCCCAGGAACTGCACGTCCTGCACAAAGATGATTAGTTCACCCAGTTCCAAGTTCGACATATTTTATACACGTTTGCTCCTAGATATTCTATAAACACAACTTTATACGCATACATCGGCTATTGCTGCTTGTTATTGACTCTTCCAACCAGTTTCAATTTCATCTTTCACCCACAAAATATAGACTCGCATCTACGGCCAAAAAAATACCCTCCGGTGATCGGGCCCTTGCTGCGAAATCCCCGAACTAAATGGCCATGTGAACAGGAAATTCATGGAACTAAATGGGTGAGTTTCCAGCTAGAGATGATTGATTACCGGATGGTAAACCAGTAAAACGGAGGTGAACAATTCATAAAAATTCACCATTTGGGCCCTGTGACCACTTTATTTCGAGTTTTTTTCAAACCAATTTCCCGCAGCTTCACCCGACGCCATGTCGCTTCTTCCACGTAGAGCTTGCTGTCACCAGGTCGGAGTCTGGATCCGCGCGACTTTCTAAGAGACACCTCGGGCTCTCGGGGATGAGTCATAGCACCAAACGGGACCCGGATGCCCTAAGAAAGCTGGGACTTCTGGATGTTTATTCTCCCAGAAAAAAATGGGCATAATAGGTTTTGAGCCATCCCCACTTCTGTTGGCTATGTTAAGCCGTTTTCGGCTGCTTCTTGTAGTAACTATAAAAATCCCCAGATTCTTGATGAAATCTGGATTTCAAAGTTTCAACTTCCACTTTTCCTGGGTGCAATCTCCATGTTTTGCAATGCAAAATCTGTCCAAGGCACGCCCGCAGCATTTGCAGCCTCCTTGCGTCGGTGTGGGCTTCGGATTTGAATTCAACAGCAATTTAATGGGATTATATGGGATTTAATGGCATTTAATGGGATTTCACCAACCAGTCTATGAGCATATAACAGCATATATACATAGGAATGTGGGGAGACCTTCTGGTTTGCGGGGATATAACTATCCCATATGCTCCATGGTGAATGTTGACGTAAATAACTGGGAAATTTTGGGGGAATTTTGCTTGTAAATATTCCAGCGCCATGGAGCATTGGGGTAAGGGGTCACATGAATCCATTTTCCCCTGTGGCACTTAGTCCTAAGAAATTTGGAGCAACCAGTACGATCAAAGACTGAAAGGCAATCGTGTTTGGTTCGAACATTGGACCCACTATAGAAGCAGATGGGAGCAAGATCACTGCAACAAACTCAATACTTTTCCTCTAAATACCACCGAGACATTTGTTCTGCACCAAACTCAAGCTTCCAAAAAGAGTTGGGAGTCTAGGAATTGATGCAGGCAACTTGCAAGAAGCCTATGATATTTGGGCATCACAGAAACCATCTCCACAGACGTTTGAGGAAAGGGTCATCTTTTGGAATTCCTTGTTGACAAGTCTGTCTTTAAAAGCCACCAAGGTGAGCCGGCTTCTGGAACTTCTTTGCTCTCACATGATGTCTCTCAACCAAGCCTTGGAATTTTGCTTGGCGATTCGCTCCGGATCTTTGCCAGGAAACGGACCACCTCAGAATGACCGCCTTGAGATGCCAGATCCAGAGCAGTCCTTCCACAGCTTGTAGTTGCGTGACCATCTGCACCTCTTTCAATCAGAAAACGAACAATTTCAACATGGCCAATTTCTGCCGCAGCATGTAAGGCTGTTACCCAATATCCATGGTTGCTTCGTTTTGGGCACCAACTTCCACCCAATCACGAACGACATCAATATGGCCTTGCTGTGCTCAGATGAACAATGGCGTTGCGCCACCGTTCGCGGCTTGATCTTTGTGGGCACCAACTTCCACCAGATGACGAACGACGTCCAGATGGCCTTGCTGTGCTGCGATGAACAATGGCGTTGCGCCATCGTTCGTGGCTTGATCTTTGAGGGCACCAACTTCCACCAGATGACGAACGACGTCCAGATGGCCTTGCTGTGCTGCGATGAACAATGGCGTTGCGCCACCGTACCTGGCTTGATCTTTGAGGGCACCAACTTCCACCAGATGACGAACGACATCAATATGGCCGTTCTGTGCTGCGATGAACAATGGCGTTGTGCCATGTTCGTGGCTTGATCTTTCTGGGCACCAACTTCCACCAGATGACGAATGACACCAAGATGGCCTCGCAGTGCTGCGATGAACAATGGCGTTGCGCCATCGTTCGTGGCTTGATCTTTGTGGGCACCAACTTCCACCAGATGACGAACGACATCAATATGGCCGTTCGCAGCTGCGATGAACAATGGCGTTGCGCCATTGTTCGTGGCTTGATCTTTGTGGGCACCAATTTCCACCAGATGACGAACGACGTCAACATGGCCTTGCAGTGCTGCGATGTACAATGGCGTTGCGCCATCGTTCGTAGCTTGATCTTTGTGGGCACCAACTTCCACCAGATGTCGAACGACGTCCAAATGGCCTTCCTGTGCTGCAATGATTGGGAGTCGGCAGGCTCTCGTTTTTCTGTGCTGGACCGAAGGTTGTCTAAACCTTTTGCTGTCATCCCTCAGTGACAGCTAAAAGAAACAAACTTAAACACAAGCCGAATGGAACGGCTGGTCTTCGAAGACTGCTCAAGCACCCCAATTGGTATGGGTCAACATGCTGAGACAGCTTCATGAGCCGGCCAAACCAACTGGTATGGTTCTGGACCGCTCTTCCAAAGGTAAACTCCTACCTGCCTCCCCCCTCTGCAGCGCCAAATGGCCAGCATAGGGGAAGGGCGGGTGGGCCCAGCTTTTGAGCCTAAAGCAACAACATCACAGAAACTCAAACCACCTCTTCCCAACCGTCGCTTCGACAGCCAGGGAGTCGGCAGGCTCTCGTTTTTCTGTGCTGGACCGAAGGTTGTCTAAACCTTTTGCTGTCATCCCTCAGTGACAGCTAAAAGAAACAAACTTAAACACAAGCCGAATGGAACGGCTGGTCTTCGAAGACTGCTCAAGCACCCCAATTGGTATGGGTCAACATGCTGAGACAGCTTCATGAGCCGGCCAAACCAACTGGTATGGTTCTGGACCGCTCTTCCAAAGGTAAACTCCTACCTGCCTCCCCCCTCTGCAGCGCCAAATGGCCAGCATAGGGGAAGGGCTTTCCACGGCCCCTTGTCATGGCCAGCAGGCCTCAAGGCCTGAAGGCCGTATCAGGGGTCTGAATGGCCCAGTGCTTTATTGTCTTTTGCACCGCCGGAGAAGTGCGCAGGGATGGAAGCTGCGCCAGACCGTCCTGTAAGTAGAGACGGGCAACATTGAGGCTCCTCCAGCGTCCGCGGACGAGAATCGTCTCGAGCGGAAGGCCAATTTGAAGTAAATACGTTGCTCCTCCTCTTCGAAGCGAGTAGGGTTTGAATCCAAGGGATGGCACCCGAAAAAAGTCGCACAGCTTGCGAAAGGCTGTGCGGAAAGACTGCCCAGAATGTGGCCAGAGCAGATCTCCGGGATAGGGACGCCGCACGGACACAAGGGTGTCCAGCAGCTGAAGCGTGAGCGAATCCCTAACGGCCACAGCTTCCTGGGCGCCGGTGCGCAACCCTGTCTTGGATTGGTGTAGACACACCACCCCACAGTCGCGACTGAATTCAATGTCTTTGAAGCGGAGGGCCAGGAGTTCACCGGTTCGCAGCAGCGCATGAAACCCCAGGGCAATCAGTGCGGCCACCGCGACATCGCCGGCACAGACTGCCTTGGCAATGAAGGCTTGGGCCAGTTGTACTGTAAGCGGCGGGGCGCGCACGGGCGATTCAACCCGGCGCCAGTTTTTGAACATCCGCCAAGCCTCTCGCAAGCGTCCGCGGATCTCAGGCCAGAAGAAATGGAGGCCAGAAAGGGTGTCCCCAATGACTCCCAAACTTTCACCGCGTGACCATTGCCACTCAATCCAATCGCAGAGCACCCCATCCAGGTCTGCCAGCGACGGCTGAGCTTCGAGGTGGGGCAGGAGCAGGCCGACTGCCGCCTCATAGCGCTCGCGGGTTTTATTTGTGATGGAATAATCCCTGAGCCGGATGCCAGCCCGACGGCGTTTGCGATCAGCTCGGGTGCGGCCAGCCAGCAGAATGCGGGGGACAGACCCCGGCATTATGCGCGGCTACCACTGTCCGTAGGATTTTCCAGGCTGGTCACATGGCCATGCAGAACACTAACCCCAGTAAACAGCTGCAGGGCCCCAATCCTTTTGGACAGGGGCTGGAGCAAACGGCTGGAGGTTCTCCCCTTTGCTAATATGTAGAGACATACCATGCTATCCTCCAAGTGCAACCAGCGCTTGTTCAGCCGAGATACATCGCGCAGCTTCCAGAGCAGCGTGAGGAGGATCATCTTCATCTCCAGATAGTTAATATGGGATGGGGCGATCCACCGCACCTTGAAAAGGTTCTTCCATTGCCACCACCACGCTCTTAACGATCCGTGGGCACCCCGGCGACTCATGGGCTCACCTGTCAGCAGTCGCACATCGGATCCCGTCTGATTGACCTGCAGACCCAGGTGGCGCACCAAAATATCAGGGGCAAAGCGGGGTGAAGGGTCAGGCCCATACGCTAACCAGCGCGTCAGCGGGACTGGCTCGCACGGATGGGCAGAGGCTCCTGGTGCCAGTCCCATGCGGTTGATAATGTGCGAGGGCTTCATCCGTGGTAGCCACTCCGCACACACCGCTGCCCCCATTATTGCGAAGGAGGGGATTGCAAAGGAGTCGCCGCACTGGCTTTTCCTGCAATCCTCATAGGCAGTCCAGCTCGCTTTTGCCGCGGAGGCGGACTTGCAGCTGGCCGTGTGGCCAGGTCCTAGCCCTAGGAGCAGCTCCCGTTCAGAAGCGTCGAGCAGCCGCGGGGGCGCCGTATCATGTACCAGCAAGAACTTCGCTTGGTACTGATACGGGGGGAAACGGAATTGATCCGCCTCCCACCGGCCTCGAGCCTCCGCATCAGTCTTAGCCAGACCAGCGGGGAACGGCGGCGGAGCTCTCCGGGGGATGCTCTTCATGAAAGTTGGGAACTTTCCCGGCAGCGCAGAACCACCGGGCCAGCGCCACCCAGGCCGAATCCATTGGTGATCCTCCAGCGTGCCCGCATGGACATACGCTCGGATGTAGTCACCTTCTTGCCAAAGTGTCAAGTCCTCCATGGCGTAGAGCTCTTCCGAGCACCAGGCCAACCGTGGCCGCCCATACGGCAAGGTGTCGGCCGGGTCCAGCTTAATGGGCTGGATATCCAACTCCGCACTGATCTCCCTGCGGGCAGCTTCATCCATAGAGGCCACATTTTCAATGCAGCATTTCACGCGAGCGGTGATACCGAACACCTCGCGGATCCACCCAAGCACGGTCAGAAGTTTCCAAAAGAGATTCGACCCTTGACCAGCTAGGTTTTGCCTGAACGCGCGGACTCAAGAGAGGTGCACGCATGGGAAACCTCCCCACACGTGCACTTCCTCGGCTCGGCCATACCTGTTTGCCCAAGCCCGCACGTCGTCCTTTGTCAGCAAGTTGACATCCAGATACTCTTCAACATCGGGCCAGGCGGTCCTAGTCACTCGTGACGCCTCCTTGTTGATTTCCACGGCGATCTTTCCCAGGGGACGGACACCGAGGATGTCATATATGCGGAACGCGCCGCCGACCCCGTTGAAGAGTGATACCACCAATATAGGGCAAAGGATGGGCTGCCGGCCTCTGTTTTGGAGAGCATTGGTCAGCGAGTGGCCTGACCAGCTCAATCCAGCACTACGGGCTGCGGCGCCCCCAGTTTCCGACGCGTCGGAGCAGGTGACCATGTCGTCATACTCGCACCGCATGTCGGTCTGGATGACCGGACCTAAGCACAGCAGCATTTGAAGCTCTTTCAGCATCAAATTGACCTTCGACTTGGACGCCCAGGGTGTCTCAATAGCTTCCCAGGAGTGCGACAGCACCGCCATTGCCGCCCTCCGGAATTGCAAGATGAACACCCAGCGTCCCAGGATGATTTGGGCGTCCTTCACGCTGCCTCCATGCTTCTGCAGCACGTGCACCGTGGCCAGCGCAGTCTTAAACAGTCTCTCGGGGGACGCACCCAACAACCCGAGACGACCGTCGAGGCGAATGCCCAGTTCCACCGCGGTTGCAGCCGAGATGACCTGCTTGTCATCAGCTGTCAATACGCCCGTAGCGTGCCACGCAGACATGGCTTTGCCCTGCAGGGACGCATCCAGTCCTTCATAGGTGCCCTCGCTGCACTCCGCCGACATGAAATTGTCCAAGTAGACTTGCCACCAAGCACGAGCCTCGCTGGCCTCAGCTATGGTCCTAGTGAACCATACGGGAGCCGGAGTCCCTTTATGGAGCTCCAGCTCACCAGGTAGGCCCTGGGTCAACAGAATCTCACGGCTGAGCTGCTGCATGATGCCTACGCTGCTGTTCCATCCCATTGGTAACACCCTACAGCACGGCCTATAAAACTGGCCAGCTGTTCTCCTGATACGTTCACCTTGCACCCTGTAATTGAAGGCGAAGTATGGATACCAAGTCGCGGGGACCGAGTAAAGGTAGAATGCTGCCGCCATATCACCTTGTGAAACCCGTAGCTCTTCTCCCTCACTGACGACCAGGGGTATCCACGACGTCCCATTTGGAAGAAGCTGGACGTCACCATGTATTACCTCAAACAGGCGGTTTGCAGGGACTAGGTTCATTATGACCCTCAATACAGGACGCCCAGCCGGGGTAGTCTTACCTTGTTTTACCACCCCGAACAACCCATTCAAACACTCCCCCGTCTCGTCTCGAAAAACCTCGGACTCTGGGAGCCAGGTAATAACGCCCCGCTCGTCAAGGAGTTCAAACACTGCCATTTCGGCTCCTTTTTCGATATGTACCTTGGCTTGCATGGGTCCAGTATTCCTTTCGCGCAGCGGCAACAGGCTTTCCAGCGGGTTCTCCATCAAATGTTTAGTCCTCCCCCGGAGAAACCGAGTCACAGGAATGCTACCTCCGTGCCCCCGGGGGGGCAAGCTCTGTTGTATCTGTTCTGCTGTAAGACAGATGGGTCTTGAGACCTCTTCTCCCGTGTAGCTGACCCTCTTTTCCTTCAGGTCAGCTACAACCTGTTCAAAAGAAAAATCCCTACTACCTTCACCTAACAAAAACCGTTTGACCTTGTCCCTCAGGTTTCCAAGGGCCGCCGCATGAACTTTTCCGGGCCGACGCTCAGTCAGGTGCGCCGAACAGCCATACAAATCGTTGAGGGCTATAGCTGTACATGCCACCCAACATTCCACAGAAAAATCTAAACTACAGGACGCGTAGTTGTCACGCCAGGTCCGGGAGAAATCACTGGGCCAGATTACCGGCAGGGGAAACAACTCGCCGCTATGGGCCTTTCGGCCGGCAAGCTGTTGGGGTCCAGCACTCGGAAGGGAAAGCAGAGAAAAGCCTTCGCGGACGCCCCATGCCAGTAGTATTCCAAACTGCTTCAAGTTGTCTACCTGGCCCAGGTTAAAAAGCCACCCCTCATAATCAGCCGCCGCCTGAGGTAAGTTCACCTCAGCGGCCACTGCTTCTGTAAGCGTGCGATTCGAATTACGGTCAGCCATTGCCTGAGGCGAGATTTCCTCGGCAACCGCTGTCGCTGTAAACGTGCAATCTGAATTACCATCAAGGTCCGCGCACGGCTGCATCGAGCCAGCGCGACAATCCTCGCTAGAGGCACCACAAACTGCCTCAGCGCTAATGCGGCCGCCATCCACTGCTTGCTCGCCCTCAGCCGAGTCGGCAAGCGCCATAGGCAGGGGTCCAATCACGGCGCCCCCTCCGTGGTCTTCTTGCCCTCGCCGGCATCTCCTGGTTGACCCCATTGGGCCCAGTTTTTGCCTCCTTTTCCTTTTGCCTTGCCTTTCTTTCCTTTTCCCTTTGGCCGTGGGTCGGCGTGCCACTCGCTCGCCCAAGTCGTAGCCCGGCTCCAGCTGCCCTTCCCCCCGGCTTTCTCCACTTGCTTGCCATGGCGCTGAGCTGCCAGCAAGATGTGGGCCGGGGCCGTGCCCTCCTCCTCGTTGGTCGCTATCTCCAGGTGCCGCGCCACCGGCCAGCCCTGGCGTGTCGCCGTTTCCACTGCAATGAGCCTCGCGGCCAGCAGGTCGGCTAACGCGTCCAACTTTCCTTCCCTCAGGAGGTCGAAGGAGCGGCACAGAAGGGCAAGCTCTTTTGAGTCCCTTCCGCGCGGGTCCATGGCCGGGCGCAAGGCCAACTGGTAGTAAGTGACCAGCTTTGGGCGTTGCACGGGCTGGAATCTGCATCGTCTTCCAAAGCGTCCACAACGCCGTCCTTGGCCAAGAACTCGTAGGCTTGAGCCTCCAGGAGCCGTAGAACTGAACCTGGCTCCTTCTGCGAACGCCTCTTGAGAGGCGGCAGCAGTGAGCTGCTCTCGCTGGATGAGCTGTAGTCGGTGTCCTCCTCGTCGCTGCTCTTCCTCTTCTTGCGGCGCTTCTTCTTTTTCTTCTTGCCGCTCCTGCTCTTCTCCTTCTTCGCGGCCACCTGCTGTTGCGTCGCGGCCGCTTTGGCCAGCGCAACGCCCACGCTCTTGCGCTTCCTCCGCCGAGAGGCTGACTCCGAGCGGTCCCGACTGGAGGTCAGGTCTATGGTCTCCGTCTTCACCTTGTCCCCGTTCGCCGGGCAGAGTGCCAGCGCAGCAGATCCTGCCCCTGGCTTCCTCAAGATCCCAGCCCGGCGTCCATCCGGACCGCCAGCGGGTGGCAGTGACGATGGAGCTGGCGCCCCCAGGTCGCCAAAGGTAACGCGCCTTGAGGCGCCCCGCAGAGCATCCAGCCGCTTCTCGGTCAGGCTTGGCGGGGCCGGAGCCCCGTTGTCTGCTGCCGCGGATTTGCGGCCTGAGCGGCCTGTTGCCTCCATCTCCATCCGTGGGCCCTCTTTTACCTTCTTCCTCGCGTGTGCGGACAGGAAGGGAGCCACGTAGTCGCCCGCCGGGTACCACTTGAACTCGGTGAGGTGCCAGCCCGGCTCTGCAGCCAGCTTGCATTGCCCCGTTGAGGTGTGTTCGCAAAGATGTACCTGACGACGATTGCTCTTGAAGTACTTCTGCATATCCTTCTTGACTTCGTCGTGTTCGGCGCCAAGCACCCTGACTTCGAGCCAGATTCCGTCGAGGTCCGACTCCATGGAGAGCACTTGAAGCGCAACCAGGCCTTCGGGTGACGCGCCGTCTTCCCCCAGCGAGGTGAATTCTATCACCGACCCAGCCGGCACATGGCGATGACGCCAAAAAGCAGCTTCGGTGAGATTGTACTCCTGCGGAGTGCTCGGCTTTGGGCTCGCGTCGAGGGCGGCTCGCACGCGCTCCGCATATCCTACCTCCCCAGGCAGGGGGGAGGCGGCCCTCTCCTCTACTTCCACCTCCGCCATTGCTCGTTTGAAAACGGCAAAGGGCGGACTCAGTAGCGCCTCGCCAGGCCCTCTTCAAACGAAGGGGCCAGCGTGACCTGGTCCGCACGAAGCTTGCGATGGCTTCGGCGAAGCGGGTCCTGGATGTCCTTATGTCGCCGCTGGTGTTTGGTGCCACCTCGGCGCCTCTTCTTGTGACCTGAGTCACGTCCCGAATGCCTCTTTCTGGGCTTCTCCTCACCTTGGTGGTCGCGTGGCCTGCGCTCCGTCCGGCTGCTATGCGGCCGCGGGGGCGGCGGGCCCTCTGGCTCAGGGGGCTTGTCTGAGCCCCAGTCCTCACGCTTGACCTCGGTGATAGGTGCCTCCACGCGCTCTTCTTCCTCCTCTTCCTCGTCAGAGTCGGACTCCTCGCTCTCCGGCGGGGGCGCTGCCCCTCGCTCAGCGGTGGCCGCACGAGCGGGAGACCTAGGGATGGCAGGTCGCGTGTCCCTCCTGGGTGACCGCGAGCCGCGAGGGCGTCCCCCGCGGGACTTGGCAGTGGCCGCCGGTGCACGCGACTCCTGTCCAGCACCGGTAGTGGCCAGAGAGTGGTCGAGGTTCCAAAATGCCCTGCAAAGGCGAGCACTCGACAGCAGGGCTTCCTCTGCCACTGCCCTCAGTCCCTGGTTTCGCCACCCCTGTCGCAGCAACCCCAGGCTGTGCTCCAAGGAAGAGCACCCGAGACACCAGGTGTCTCCCTCCTGTGCAAGACCTTGCTTGCACTTGTTGCACCGGGGGGGCATCCCCACCCCCGATGCCCAGCTTTTGAGCCTAAAGCAACAACATCACAGAAACTCAAACCACCTCTTCCCAACCGTCGCTTCGACAGCCAAATGGCGTTGTGCCATCGTTCGCGGCTTGGTCTTTGTGGGCACCAACTTCCACCAGATGACGAACGACGTCCAGATGGCCTTGCTGTGCTGCGATGAACAATGGCGTTTCGGCATCGTTCGTGGCTTGATCTTTGTGGGCACCAACTTCCACCAGATGTCGAACGACATCAAGATGGCCTTCCTGAGCTGCGATGTACAATGGCGTTGTGCCATCGTTCGTGGCTTGATCTTTGTGGGCACCAACTTCCACCAGATGACGAACGACATCAACATGGCCTTGCTGTGCTGCGATGAACGATGGCGTTGCGCCATCGTTCGTGGCTTGATCTTTGTGGGCACCAACTTCCACCAGATGTCGAACGACATCAAGATGGCCTTCCTGAGCTGCGATGTACAATGGCGTTGTGCCATCGTTCGTGGCTTGATCTTTGTGGGCACCAACTTCCACCAGATGACGAACGACATCAACATGGCCTTGCTGTGCTGCGATGAACGATGGCGTTGCGCCATCGTTCGTGGCTTGATCTTTGTGGGCACCAACTTCCACCAGATGTCGAACGACATCAAGATGGCCTTCCTGAGCTGCGATGTACAATGGCGTTGTGCCATCGTTCGTGGCTTGATCTTTGTGGGCACCAACTTCCACCAGATGACGAACGACATCAACATGGCCTTGCTGTGCTGCGATGAACGATGGCGTTGCGCCATCGTTCGTGGCTTGATCTTTGTGGGCACCAACTTCCACCAGATGTCGAACGACATCAAGATGGCCTTCCTGAGCTGCGATGTACAATGGCGTTGTGCCATCGTTCGTGGCTTGATCTTTGTGGGCACCAACTTCCACCAGATGACGAATGACACCAAGATGGCCTCGCAGTGCTGCGATGAACAATGGCGTTGCGCCATCGTTCCTGGCTTGATCTTTGTGGGCACCAACTTCCACCAGATGACGAATGACACCAAGATGGCCGTTCTCGGCTGCGATGAACAATGGCGTTGCGCCATCGTTCCTGGCTTGATCTTTGTGGGCACCAACTTCCACCAGATGTCGAACGACATCAAGATGGCCTTCCTGAGCTGCGATGAACAATGGCGTTGTGCCATCGTTCCTGGCTTGATCTTTGTGGGCACCAACTTCCACCAGATGTCGAACGACATCAAGATGGCCTTCCTGAGCTGCGATGAACAATGGCGTTGCGCCATTGTTCGTGGCTTGATCTTTGTGGGCACCAACTTCCACCAGATGTCGAACGACATCAAGATGGCCTTCCTGAGCTGCGATGAACAATGGCGTTGTGCCATCGTTCGCGGCTTGATCTTTGTGGGCACCAACTTCCACCAGATGACGAATGACACCAAGATGGCCGTTCTCGGCTGCGATGAACAATGGCGTTGCGCCATGCAATGGCATCATCCCTTCAGGTCCTTCGTCTCTTTCATCTTTTTCAGCACCTGCTTCAATCAGCAACCGCAGGCTTTCAACATGTCCTCTTTCTGCGGCACAGTGCAACGGTGTTGTGCCATTTTTGTCTCTCACATTTGGATTCAATGGTTTTTTCAGCAAACTCTCAAGTTCAATCAAATCATCGTTGATGGATGCAGAGATCATGCGTTGGGTGTGCTGAGCATCAGTTTGGAAAAAATCCAAGATCACAATCATAAGCTTCACCGGAGCCGAAGCAAAAATCGCATCATCCGGAATCTCGGAACCATCTTCTGAAATCAGTCTTTGTCTAAAAACGGTGACATCAATCTTAACTGCCAAGACTTGCTTCACAGCCTTGGCAGTTTTTCCTTCAAATTCATCAGGGGCAAGGACTGTCAGCTCAGCACCTGACGTGAGGAAGCACACCTCCATCCTGTAACCCACTGTAACCTGTAGTTAGTTGTGTTCAGACCTGCAAGATCATGTGAGAAATGTGGAAAAAATGGTAAATGGCCCCGGCATTTTACAGCTTGCTTTAAAAGATGTGAAAAATGTTTTGCTTCGAGAATTTGCGATGATTCACCCACGAAAGCAATCCCCACTTGCAAGATGTCATGATATGTGTGTAGATCTCCACCCGCGACACCTTGATTGGATCCTGCGGTAGATCGATTTGGGCAAGGGATGGGCTGTGCCTCGTATCAAAAGCACCTAAGTGGGCCGTGCCCGACGAAAAAGTGCGTGTTTGGAAGTCCTCATCAACCCAAATCTATCCAAATCTTAGATACGGTTGGGGCAAAACTCTGCCACCTTTCTTGACAAAACAAACTGGATCAGGTTCTATGAGGATGCGATTTTCTACCTCATCAATTGTGTGCTTCAGTCCATACCCCGCCGAACTCACTTTTCCCTCGAATTTGAACTAATTATAATGACAATGAGTCCTTAGTTACATGGTTACATCATGTTACATCCCATTTTTTTCCCTACCTCCCGCCCCAGTGAAATTCCCAGTGAAATCCCCTGTCCCGGAAATGCCCAAGTCTCCTGCGGTGGCTCAGGGTTGCCAATCCATGGCCTTGGATGAAACGACAGCCGGAGAAAAATGACTGGATGATACTGGATGCAGTGAGTTCATCGATTTATAGCGAAGTTGGTTATTGCTGTATAAGTTGACTTTACTAGATCTTGAATATCTTGAATGTACGACTATTGTTTCCATTACTGTAGTAGAAGATATTTAATTCTTGACTATTTCAACGCCAGAAAGATGATAAACATGCAGAAAAGGTGGAATTATCTTATTGGGATTTTGACAAAATTCTACATCTTTTTGGGGCTGCTACGGGTAAGAACCATATGATATATTTGGGTTGTCCCAGCTACTTACTTGTGTCTATCTACCAGCAGTACATGCTAATTCTGAAATAGCCCCCAGGCATATTCATGGATTGGTTTTGCTGTGATGTTTGAAACTGGAAACCCTGGCCTTTACCCGCAGATATAGGTGTGAAACCTGTATTTTTTTGTCCTTTTAAACCAAGTCTGGGAAGTCAGGACACAGATGTAAGACCCATATGGGTGTCTCTGGAAATGTTAACAGAACCAATCACGAACTTATGATCAGTGTCCCCCACGAACGGCAATTTCAGGGTATTTGTGTCTGTGTGTTTTTTCATGTGCAATGCTTTTAGAAGATGGGCCACAGAAAAATGTTTTTTTTGTTCACCACTGGGCCTAGGGTTTAGGCCCTTCAACTTCCCTCAGTTCCCAACAACGTCCATCATTTCAGACTCCATATGGGAAAATGGGAAACAAAACAAAGCTGGGGTTCCAATCTTTCAGCTTCCCGTTAACTTTTTCCACAAATTTATCCCAGATGGTCCAAGGCTCACTAAATCATTGCACCTTCGTGGTTTCCCAAGTTCTCTGCGTCTTTTGTTGCCTATGTTAAGCCGTTTTCGGCTGCTTTTTGTAGTAATTATATAAATCCCCAGATTCTTGATGAAATCTGGATTTCAAAGTTTCAACTTCCACTTTTCCTGGGTGCAATCTCCATGTTTTGCAACCATGCAAATCTGTCCAAGGCACGCCTGCAGCATTTGGAAGAGGTGCAGATAGCAGGGTAGCACCGCAGCCTCCTTGCGTCGGTGTGGGCTTCGGAACCTAACACCCCAGATACCAAGAAGGGAGGATTCTTTGAATTTAACAGCCATTTAATGGGATTTAATGGGATTTAATGGCACTTAATGGGATTTCACCAACCAGTCCATGAGCATATATACATAGTAATGTGGGGAGACCTTCTGGTTTGCGGGGATATAACTATCCCATATGCTCCATGGTGAATGTTGACGTAAATAACTGGGCTATTTTGGGTGGAATTTTGCTTGTAAATATTCCAGCACCATGGAGCACTGGGGTAAGGGGTCACATGAATCCATTTTCCCCTGTGTCACTTAGTCCTAAGAAATTTGGAGCAACCAGTACGATCAAAGACTGAAAGGCAATCGTGTTTGGTTCGAACATTGGACCCACTATAGAAGCAGATGGGAGCAAGATCACTGCAACAAACTCAATACTGTTCCTCTAAATACCACCGAGACATTTGTTCTGCACCAAACTCAAGCTTCCAAAAAGAGTTGGGTCTAGGAATTGATGCAGGCGACTTGCAAGAAGCCTATGATATTTGGGCATCACAGAAACCATCTCCACAGACGTTT